GCTAGTTTCTTTATGTAGCGCCAAATCACGACAAGAGCCATCTCAAGGCACTTCACATAGTAAACGTTCCAATACAGGTCAGTTCGTTAAGCCAATCAGAAAAAAGTTTCCTATACAAGGAACCCAGCAGGTTGCGTCGAGTCACTGACTAGTGTCAGAGTCTTTACAGCAATCCTCATACTAAGAAAGCATGAGCAAGAGGTGTGGACTGACTGTGATTCTGTATATGTACAAGGGTGTACAAGTCTGTAAATTTGGCTTTAATCCATAATGTTGCCATCTCACCAGCTGCACTGACAGTTTCAGTTTCCAAAATGTTCTTATGAAAAGATCAAAGTTCGCTTTAAGTTACATTCATTTTCTCATCACCGGGGGGAGGTGGGGGCGATTGAGTGAGCCATGTTCCATGCCTTCATTGTCAAGGCGGCCGATCAGAATTGCGCAAGGTTGTCGGTGCCTGTTGTGGTGGCAACCCCCAACCTGCTGGTGGACATCGGCGGTTAGGGAAGCTGTCAAGCTGGAGAAAGAGTCCTATCGGGTCTTTGTGGACTACAGAGGCAGCTGGTGGTGTTGCTGAGAATTTGAAATAAATAGTTAATCTCAAAGATCTCAGAGATTGGTCAGCCTTACTGTTGCCCGTGCCACACTTCTATCATTCCTCTGTTGAGTGAATTAATGAATGAATGAATATTTTATTTGGGACAGTGCATGTTAATTAACATTAATTATACATGTAAGAATAGCATGAATGTAACCACGCCAGATTGTAGCCTAGGGCTAATTTCCATCTGTAGTCCCGAGATGGTTGTCACATAAAAGTCCAGTGACGTTAACAAAGAGTTTGTTGACAAGGGAAAAAAAAACATCAATAAGACACAAATATGAGATTTTGATTACTGCAGACCTGAGGTATTTGTCACTTTGGGGTTCTCTGATATTCGGAAAGTGGTCCAGTGATAATAAAAAGTGGTCCAGTGGCATCATTTAAGTGTGCAGTGATAATAAATACTGAGGGGTAAATCATAAATACATCATATATACAGTACAGTTGTAGGCACATTGGTGAGGATAACATAGTTCACATTTTTAGCATGCATTATTACAGTTTTTGTGTAAGGAGTACACGCTGTTAGCATACAGGAATTGCCTTTGTAGTGACAATATCTTGGTTTCAATGATAATGTTTTTGTACCATGGTTACATAGCTGATTTGACCAGAGCCATTTTTTGGTTTCCGATTTGAATGTGGCGAAGGTGGAACATTTTCTAATGGATTGGGGGAGGCTGTTCCACTGGTGCCCACCCTGTACTGAGAAGACTTTCTGTCCAAATGTTGTTTTTCTGTAGGGGATCACTAAGTCCCCGCGTGATGATGCACGGGTGGCTCTTTTTGAGGTGCCATTGTATCTAATAAAGTCGCTTAGCGGAGGTGGGGCGAGAGAGTGTAGTACCTTGCATGTTAGACACAAGTTTTTGAGTTTGATTAGATTGTCTAGGTTGAGGAGTTTATGCTTTTTCAACACGTGGCAATGGTGGTGAGCCTTGGGTTTTTTATCAAGCAGCTTTAGGCTTCTTTTGTATTGTGTTATGACCAGTTTTAGTGTAGTTGGGCAGTTGAGCGACCAAGTTGTCAGGCCTGATCATCGCGTGAAAGTAGATTTTGGCAGTCTTTGTGTCTAGATTGTTCCTGATGTGGTGAAAGTTTTCATTATTGAACTTGAGCATCTGGGTTACTTTTCTTATGTGGCTTTTGAAGGTTAATGTTGGGTCTAGGGTGACCCCGAGGTATTTGACCATTGGTGCTAGCTCAAGTTCTACCCCTTCAGAAAAACATTTGATTTTTGTTGATTTAAGCATTTTCCTTTCAGAATTACATCTGATTTTTGTTGTTTTTAATGACGTTTTGTGAAGTACATGCATACGATTTTGGAGGTGTTTAGTAGGAGACAAGATTCATTTAACCAGTCGTAGATTAATGATAGAGCCGCTGTTAGGTCATTACCAGCCTGTTCGATGTTGTTAGCTTGCAGGTATATGACGGCATCGTCCGCGTACATTTGTGTGTAGACATTTTTGCAGACGTCAGGTAGGTTGTTGATGAAGAGAGAGAATAATATTGGTTCAAGAACCGATCCTTGGGGAACGCCGGTCTCGCAGTCCAGATGTGTGGATTTTGTTCCATCTAAGGCCACGTACTGTTTACGTTTACTTAGGCAGGAGGCAAACCACTGAAGAGCTCAGTAGGAGATGTTAAATCGAGTCAGTCTGGATAATAGCATGCAATGGTTAACTGAGTGGAAAGCTTTCTTTAGATCTAGAAAGATTGCCCCGATGCAGTGGCTCTCGTCCAACAAGCTTTTCAGGATCTCTGCTAATACGCACAAGGCTGTTTCTGTAGAATGATGGGATCTGAAGCCAAATTGCATTCTGTGTATTGATGGTTTGGTATCCTCAAGATGTGCGGTTAGAAGTTTGACAACCCATTTCTCTGCTATTTTGGACACAACCGGGAGTATACTAATAGGGCAATAATTGGCCGTGTCAGTTCTAGCGCCTGATTTGAAAATTGGGGTGACTGCTGCGATTTTCCAATCTGATGGGACAGTGGAGCTTTCGAAAGGCATGTTTAGTACGTGTGCTACTGGGCGAATAAGGAGGTCTCTGTGTTCTTTTAAAAAACTAGTAGTTAGGCCAAATGCATCAACTGCTTTTGTTTTTAGGCCCGCAATTATCTTAGCCACCTCCGTGTCTGTGATTTGGGTGATTGTCAAAAGGTTCTGATCGGTATCTTTTGTGTTTACGATGGGGATGATGGGGTTGAACTTCTGACTGATCTCCTTGACTGAGTTTATAAAAATGCTGTTTAATGTGCTGGCAATGGATGAGGGTTCTCTAATAATGGTGCCATTAACATGTAGTTTGGTTACTTTGATGTTTTTGTTTGAGTGGCGGCCTAGGAGTCTATTTAGGTTTTGCCAGATGAGTTTACCATTGCCGTTGGCATTTGTTATTAAATTAATGAAGAAGTTAGCTTTGGCCTATTTTGGGCTTAGTTTTACCGCTGTCTGTCCAGAGTTAGTCCTGTTTTCAGGTATTGTTTTAGGAGTAGATCTCTTTTTTCATAAGGGTTTTGCATTCATTGTTTACCCACAGCAGAGCAGGTGTTTTATTTGTGCACTGTCGGCCTTTAGAGGAGTAAGTGGATATAATGCTTTTGAGTCAGTTAGTTAGGTGGCTATTACAGAATTGTGGGTCTTTACTGTGCAGCAGAGGTTCCCAGTCGGTCGATTTAGCGCTTCTGCAACATTATCTCGCTGATTTCTTGGTATAAATTCATAGAACGATCTATTATTGGAAGAACCGCATAAGTTATTTTCTGCCCGTGCTTTTGTAAGCTTTCTGGTAAATAAGATAAATGGTCTGAGATGCCCGTTATAAGGTTGTGGGTTTTAGTGATGCGCTCAGGTTTATTACTGAAGACCAGATCAATTGTGGTTTCCGAATGTTTTGTTATTCTCGTGGGTTTATCTATAAGTTGGTTATAATTCAATTCATCCATTATGAGCTTTAGATTTTTTCTATCTTTTTTTACAGCCCCAGTTTATGTTGAAGTCACCCATTACAATTATCTCATTGGATTTGTTATTTACACTGTTATGTTTGATTAGCGCTTGTAGTTGTCCATTGATATATATATATATATATATATATATATATATATATATATATATATATTTTTTTTTTTTTTTTTTTTTTTTTTTTGCAGATGGAGGACGGTATAGACAGATCAGTGTGAAAGACATTTCTGGTGAAAGGGAGATTTTAACAGAAATATGTTCTATTTCCACATCGGTTGGAGAATCAAGTGTAGAGCATTTAAACTGTTTTTTAACGTAAACTATTATAACTCCTCCTCTCACTCCGGTTCTATCTTTCCTGAATACTGTGTAGTCTGGAAAGAAAACTGCAGATTTAGGAGAGGAGCTCGTGAGCCAGGATTCAGAGATTCCCAGGATAGAGATATTAGAGTTGCTATGTATACAGTATGTTCTAATCGTTCATGCTTGGGAAGCATGCTACGGATATTAACGTGACCACATAATAGACCCTTGGGTTTATTTCTCGTGTCCCAGATTAGTTTCGCATGATTAAAGGTTTTAAGAATTTTAGAGTCTCTGTATCTCTTAAAGAGAGAGTGTTTTGCCTTTTTGATGGTGGTCGCAGCTGTTGATGTTGTGTGATCTTCTGCTGATGGCTGTGGTTGGTGTCCTTCTGTCCCTGGTGGTAACTGTGTCCGCCGTGGATGTTCAGGTAGGGCTTGCGGGAGGCGAGTCGGAGCCCTGGGATGTCGGCGAACGGTCCTTATCAACGGCGATGTGGACCCAGGTTGAAGAGGCTGTGGACGTCGATGTGCGGGTAAGTCCGCATGAGGCTGGGGCGAGTGAATGGGAGGTGGGGATGTATTCTCCTGCGGTGGCCGGGCTGCAAGTCTCAGGTGAGGTGGAAGCCTCAGAAGGTGGTGTGGAGAGCTCCGGCGTCTTGGTAGACACTGTGGTGGTGGGGCCGTGGGTCCTGGCGTGCGATGCGGTCGAGGTGGTTCCTCGTGTGGGGGGGGTTGTATCCCTTCGCGGTGGTTGTAGAGCAGGTCCCGGGTGAGATGGAGCCTGTGGTTGCCAGCGCGGGGACCCCGGTTGATGTGGCAGATGGGGTCATGGTGTTGTGACTGGCTGCGCCGGCTTTCAGAGTAGCCGTGGTGAGTCTCCGGCTAGCACTTGCTGTCCAAATAGCCGCGGTGTATCTTCGGCTAACGCAGCTAGCTCCTTTTGGTGGCCAGCGAGTGGCCTAGCCTGTGTTTCGGTTGTTGGTCGTCTGGGTTGCCCTGTCGGATGGTTGTTCAACCATGGAGTAGATCCATCGGGGAGTAGCGGTTTGTTTGGCTGCCATAGGGCCTGGAGACATTGGGAAGTCTCATTCGGCAAAAGAAGTACTACAACACACAGTCAAATTTGTATATCTTTATTTATTTCGGCTGTGTTTGTCCAAGAAGGTACAATGAATTTAGAAAGATAAATACATGTTAAACAGGCAAAATAAAGATCATCGTCATGAAAGATTTACGAGCTCAATGTTTCCCAGGAACATCCCATTGTTCAACTTCCATGACGTGAACTTCTGAAAACTTTATTTGAGAACATCTGACTATATGTAAGTGAGTAAAGTGTTGCTTTTAGTAGAGAATTTGATTACTTCAACACAAAAATCTTCATTCATCAAAGGATTTGATGATATTTTTGGCGTTTTGTTACATGATGCTTCCCAACACAGAGGCCAGGATGGCTGCACCTACGACACCAGTGAAAGTCATCTTGGCAGTGGTACTGGCTGCGCTGGTGTAGGAGTTGCAGTTGTTTGTTGTGCAGCAAGAAATTGAGGTGGAGTAAGTGACGCCCAGCAGACTTGAAGTGGTGGTTGTTTCACAGCCCGTGTTGTTGTCCCTGCAGCCCTGAGTGATGAAGCCACTGAAGCTTGAGACGGATGGGAAAGCTGTGGAGACAAAAAAGGTTTTGGTTAATTACGTACAATGTTGTGTTTTAATTAGTTATAACACAAATTTATAGAATGTTTATCTGAAAACAGTGACTTTTATTCCTCCTTCCCTTCATCCCTGAGTTGATTTGGAACAACTAAATCATCTAAATCTGGAAATCCGTTATTTATAGCCTAAAACATTTGCCATATTTTAATGGTGCTCAGTTTGTAACGCAATACTCTTTCAATGACCCCAAACTCTAGGAATGAAAAGGAAAAATGAAAGCAGACGTGTGAGGTTTTGAGCCAAAAAAATAGGACTTACTTGCAGTTCCAGTGTAACAGACGCTGGCGGTTTCATTTGCGCAGGTCTCATTTTTTTTAAAAAGACAGAGGACCTTCAAACCAAAGGGGCAGTTGTTGCAGGACAGGGACTCCACTAAAACAGGGTCATAAAAGCACAAGAACTGTGATCAGAAAATGGTTTTTAAACTAAAGAATTTTATAACATTATATAAAAAGGAAACTTTTTGCTCCTTTAACTTTTAACAAAGTGAAACGCCACCAATCTCTCGGATTACTTTCCTCGGGCTCTGAGTTTGGATTTGTACAGAATATTTCCAGCGTTGCATTGTGTTGACCTTTCTGGTCCATGACCTTCTGCATGGTGGAGCACCCATAAAACTATTAGGTCCACCCCCAAAAATACAACCTAGCACTAGTGTTCAAAAAGGTTTGGCTTTAAAAAAATTGCAAATGAGTTGTTTTTACCTAATTTGGAGATTTCTTTATGAAACACACATGATAAATAAAAAATTGTCCCATTTTAGTTATTAAAATGGGACAATTTAGTTTCCAAATACAAGAAAATACAATGAAATATTGCAATCACATGAGAATTTTCCAACAGTATTTTCTACTCTAATTATTTGACAGTAATACTGTTCCTGTTGATTTACTGGCTGAGTTTCTGTATTAAGTGAAATAATTTAGCACCATGAATCAATATAATTTTTAAAATTAAAATGAGTGTAGCTCAAAATTTCACCTCTAATTTACCATAAAAGGTAAAATTTCCACTTTTTGAGAAACAAAATTGAAGCACAAAACTCCATTAATCTACTTCCAAATAAAAATAAATGAATACATAATTTGGGAGAGCAGCTCTAATAAAAACATCAATTTTAGCATTCTTACCCAGAGCCAAAGATGCAAGAACTGCAACGATAGCAAACAAAACTTTTCCCATTTCTGCTTGTTGGTCCGGTTTTTGGTTTTAGGTCAAAGATTAAAAAAAAATCCACTGAAGTCCCGAAGCTGCTTGTTTCCCAGGTGACTGGATGCTGCAGGTGTCTGAACTGATGCTCGTAAAGGTGAGAACAGATATTTATAGTGTGGCTCTGAGGTGGGAGGAATGGAGATGGAGGGGGTTATAGTTATAATCAGGTTCTGTAATTGTGTCACACCTCAGCCACTCCTGAAATAGTTTTGGTTTATTTTCAGTCAAGCTTGTTTTCTGCTTTAGACTCCACCTTCGTCTCTAAATCTTTCACTCGATGATTTCTCACCCAACCTTTATTTGTCCACTCAATGCCAAGTTATTTTAGCCTAGTGAACTAGACCAAATTTTTATAGTCTGGCTTGCCAGGCTAAAGTTATTTGTCACCATTTTGTTATTTCCTTCAGGACAATCGTTGTAGTTGGTGCTAGGCTGCATGGGGGCGCAGGTGTAAGTGTTACAACAGCAGCAGCAAAGGTCCGGGAGCACCTGTCTGTGGAGCCGTGGTTCCCACAGTCAGTGCAGATCCAAGTACTACCACAGCTTGTGTTGCTGTAGCTGACAAACCTGACAGGTATACCAGCCTTTTCTCATTGTTTTTTGATATTGCAGCACACGGGCAGTGTTGGGAGTAATGCAGTACAAAAGTAATTAATTACTGTAATGCGTTGCTTTTTGCTGTAATGTGGTAATGTAAGGCATTACAGGGAAAGAAAATGGTAATATTTACTCTGTACAATTGTCAGTAACGCGGTAATTACAATGCATTTTTTAACCCAGAATCAAGATGTGTTCCTTAAAAATTCAAATTGCAGGAAACCCGAAGAAAGATCCAGTATCTGCATATATTACGTCATTTATGGACTCAGCTTTGCGGGCAGAGAGGACACAGCTGTAACGGTTCAACTACTCCAGCTGCGTCCTGCACGCGGTCGCTGCAACATTCACAAAATCGCTCCACTAAAACAAAATAATTCACTTGCGATCGTTCATATCAGCGCATGTTCTCTGGTATTTTGTGCTTTTCTGACGTGCTTTGCCTCAGCTGAGTTCAACTCATTACTGCTGGAGCACCGCGCATGTGAAGATCCCTTTGGCTGATAGTTACAAAGTAGGAAATCTAGGAAACAGTTTTTTCTGGAAGATGGAGAAAACATGCAGCATGCAGGAAGGTTAGAGAGAGAAAGGGCCGGAAATTATTCAAATAAAATCAAGAAAAAAAGTAGGTAGATTTATCCCCAATACACATTTTTACCAGTGAAAAGCAATAATATATAAGCATTTAATATTTATACATGTGATGGAATCAGATCACCCCAGAAGTCAGTCCCACATCCAGGGCCGTATCAAGGCATTTGGGAACCAGGGCAAATATAGGCTTGGAGCCCCCACCACCTCACTCCCTGCTCAGATGGCCCTATAAGATGGCAGCGTGCTGAGAGTACAGATTGTTGTTGCTTTTATTTAATAAACAATCGTTTTAAAGCACTGTTATTATATCTGACTGTTTTTAATAGCAATCCTAGCTCAGATACCACATCACCTTCCACATGTATGTCATGAGCTCACTGAGCGTCAGATTACCAGATTCATATTGAAGTTGTTTTGGTGAAAGTAACTTAAAGTAATGCAAAAGTAGTGTAATGCCTTACATTTTAAAATCAGTAATATTGTAATGTAATGAATTACTTTAAAATGAGGGTAACAAGTAATAAATAATGCATTACAGTTTTGAAGTAACTTGCCCAACACTGCACACGGGTATTATGAGGCCTTCAATTAACATGAAGCTCCTATTTATGGCAGAAACAAGTCATGCAACTGTGAGGTGTGATGAAGTGGCAGCTCGAGCCTATCCATGTTTTCCAACAGTTAGGTGCATTATCATCCTCTGAGGCTTCACGAGCTCTTAGGAGACCCGTTGTGAGATATTCCATAACTTATGTGTTTAATCATAGGGGAAAGTCTCAGATGCTCCTGTTTGAGGATGCAGCTGTGAGCTGGAGGAGAAAGCATCAGATGGCAAGATTTGGAGTCTTATTTCCTGATATTTGGAAATCTCGCCTGATTGGTTAACAGCAACGCAACAGACAAGACAAATTAACGAAATGAGAATAAGTTAATGTGATTTGAATGCTTGGTTGAATAGGTGAGGTTTTAGAAATGTTTGGAATTTTTGCAGTAAGTCCGCAGCACGGGTGTACACAACAGCCTTCTCCATCATGAGCCAAGACAGAAATTTACAATTTGTGTCATGATCCTGCCATGTCATGACCTCCATGCTAGCACCATACACCTCATCAACCTTCATGCATCACACCTGGTCCCTTCATCAAGCTCATGCCACACACCTGCCTCGCCAGCTATGGGTAAGAGAGGTGGTGGAGGACCTAAACTTGGAGACGGCCACAGAAAAGGAACGCTCAGAAATATAAGAGGAGAACCACTCCAGAGCAGATCCTGATCGGCCTACCCTGTCTCTCAACCTCTCCAGTAGCAGGTGATGGTCGACAGTGTCAAAGGCTGCAGTCAGGTCCAGCAGGACCAGAACAGAGCAGTCCCCTGCATCACTGTGAATCAGAAGGTCATTAGAGACCCTAAGAAGAGCTGTTACAGTAGAATGAGCTCTACGAAAACCTGACTGTAAGCAATCATAGATGTTCTGTTCATCAAGAGCAGCTGTGAGTTGTTTAGCCACAACCTTTTCCAAGATCTCGGAGATGAACGGAAGTTTAGAGATGGGTCTGAAGCTGCTATGGAGAGAGGCGTCAAGACTCGTTTTTTAAGAAGTGGGTGGATTACAGCGTTCTTAAAGTAAGCAGGGACCTGACCAGAAACCAGAGAAGCATTAATTATAGAGAGCACGCTGGGACCGATGGACTGAGAAGCACTTTTAAACAAAGATGAGGGTAAGATGTCGAGGGGGCATGCAAAGGTCTTCATAGAGTTAACTAGTTTGGTTAACTCAGGCAAGAAACACGAGCAAAGCTATCTAGGATGATGGGCCTGGTTGGAGTCGGGAGAGGCAGCAATAAGGCTGAAGGAGAGATGCTAGATCTAACCTTATTGACTTTGTCCACAAAGAAAGACAGAAAGTTCTCACAGTCTGCAACAGAGTGGATGGAGGCTGTAGGAGAGGCAGGAGAGACGATGCTGCTGATGGTGTTAAACAGCACCTTGGGGTTCCCTTTGCTCTGGGACACCAGGTTGGAGAAATAGGAAACCCTGGCGTCTCTGACTGCAGAGTTAAAGGATGTCAGAAGAGCCTTTAGGTGCAGCAGATGGACGTGGAGATGGGTTTTCTTTCACAAACGCTCAATTTTTCTGCATTGGCGCTTCAGGCTGCGAAGGCTGTCATTAAACCAGGGAGTAGGGTTCACTGCAGAAACTGATCTGGTTCCGACAGAACAGATGTTGTCCAGAATGGAGAGGCAGTGCTCATTAAACTGAGAAGTTAAGGAATCTGGGTCGTTATCAGAAGAACAGGGTGGATCAAAAGCAGCAGAAAAATTGCTAGCTGTGCTCTCATTAAGAAAACGAGAACTAACCATACGGCGAGCAGGAGGTGGGGACGCAGAAATGGACAAGGTAAAGAAAATGCAATGGTGATCTGAAATAGAAACGTCCTCAGGACAAACACTGTCAGCATTTAGACCCAGGGTAAAATCAAGGTCTAGAGTGTGTCCCCTGGTGTGTGTGGGGCCAGAAGCATGATGGGTAAAGCTGAAGGAGTCCATAAGGCTGGAGAAATTCATGGCAAAGTGATCAGAGGGATCATCAACGTGGATGTTAAAGTCACCAACAATCACCAGTCTAGACAGCTTCACAGTGGAGGATAGAAAGTCGCTAAACTCCTGAAGGAAAGAACTGTTTGGACCAGGTGGACGATAAACCACAGCACAGTAGAACGGGTCCTTACGCTCGACTTTAATCAGCTGCAGTTCAAAGGAAGCAAAGTGACCAGAGGTTGTAGAGCTACATGGAAGATGGTCTCTGAAAACAACAGCTAGGCCTCCACCACAACCAGAACCCTGGGGCTGGCTAAGAAAAGAGTAACCACTCGGGCAGAGTTCAATCAGGCCAGAATAATCAGATGTTTGCTGCCAAACTTCAGTCAGAAACAGAAAATCCAGGTTTTTAGAGAGAATCAGAATTAGAATTAGATCATTGAGCAGGAAGGACTTATTGTTAACAGAGCGGGTATTTAATAGAGCCATGCTGAGTGAGGTGGAGGAATCAGAAACTACAGAAACAGCTGGAGTTAGTGGACGTAAATTAGCAGGGTTAGATCCACAGTGTTTATAAAAACCACTTATGGAGGGAACAGGAGGAGAAACCACTGAGGAATGAGGATAAACCAACCTTAAAAATCTCGGACGGAGAAACCGCGCAACAATGGCGGGAATTCCTGGCGGGAATGCAGAAGTGGCGTTCAAGTCGCCAAACAAAGGACAAGAAGCTAGAAGATCATGCCGATGTTTACTAGATACACCACTCTTTAAGAGAAGTCTTATTCTCACCTGGATTCCTGCTCGTTTACCTCTTTTCCTCCGACGTTTTCCCGGGACCGGATAAACAAAGCTGGAGGCTCGCTGGTTGGGATCGTCGTTTGGCTCCGGGCCAGTGCGCCATTCAGATAAACAAACAGGGAGGTACGTCCTCGGTGCATCTTGGGCGATCACGAACGAACGGAAGGACAAAAGAGTCTGGCGATCATAGGAGATGGTAGCAGGGACACTACTGAAGAGGATCGCAGACAGGAGCAAGGTGGAAAAGAGGAGGTTAGTGGAAAAGGTTTGAAAAAGTGGCCGGTGACCGCGGCTAAGCCAAGCACAGGCGCCATCTTGTTACCGACCGGAAGCGGCAAACGGATGACGCCACAATCTGGTCCCAGAATCTACCCTGAGTTGAACACGCCATAAACTCCCTGCCCACGACCGCGACTGGTGTGTCCCCCTTTTTTACGGTTTATGGCTACCAACCCCCAGTCTTCTCCCTCCAGGAACTTCTGGCCCACACCCCCTCTGCCCGGGCCACCCTGAGATGTCGCTGCGCCTGGTGGTCTGCCATGATCCTGCCATGTCCTGACCTTCATGCTACCACCATCCACCTCATCAGCCTTCATGCATCACACCTGGTCCCCTCATCAAGCTCATGCCACACACCTGCCTCACCAGCTATATATTCCACAGTCAACCACCAACACTCTGACATATTATTGAACATGCCTGCTAGTAGATCTTTCAGCCTTTTCATCCTGCCTGATCATCGTCTACCAACCTCGTTTCATGCCTGACCCTCACCAAGAACTCTACCTGCCTCCACAACCTACGCCTGTCCACGACCCCGTCCTGTACCTACCTTGATCTGATCCATGCCTGTCTTCGACCACGTCTCTCACCTGCTCCTCGTATCTGCTTCGTCTCAGCCTACTGTTTTTTAACGCCTACTGGGCTCTGGCATCCTTACGGTCCTCTGCCAAGCCTCATGACAATTTGATGTAGATCTGTGAGGTTTTCTCTAATCCTAGAGAACTATTTTTACCAGCTGAGGAAGCACCAAGGTCCCCCACCACTGCATATACCCTCTAAGACCACAAACGGCACACATTCTCCTTAGGCCCAGCCCGGACCTCCGCCCATCGGAGGACAAACCACCTCAGAACCTGATCTCTGGCCCCACTCTAAAGTCAGAAGCTAGCTGGCGTTTGGTCCTTTATTCTAACACATGCTGCTGGGGAACTGCATCATGTTTTTACCAGTTTATGGAAGAGTTTCCAAAACCAAATTTATGCAAGGTTGCAAATAAGAGTTTCCAGTTAACACTATAAAAAAGCATTTTTGGCCATCGTTCAGTGTTTTTACTGTAACAATAGGGACTGCATCATGCTATTAGACACCTTCCAGAGCAACGATATATGATAAAATATGTTTTTTGGTGCCATTGAGATGTCATTTTTTCTTAAATATAAGCCATTTTTGTGAGATATCACTTTTACATGAAAACACGAAGCTTGGATTAGATGGAATCCCGCCTCCACCCATTTTCAAAACACAAAACATGCAGGCTAAATGGGAAAACAGTCTTCTACCACTATTTCCTGCAACAGCTGGTGATAGAAAATAGATGGTGAAATACTCGCGTTAGAAAAGCCAGTGGCCAATATTGGCTCACGACGGAGAAGGCTGCTGTTCATTTATCATCCAGTAAGAGAGCAAAGCTATTAGAAGCTAACCGTTAGCATTAGCAACTCCAAAACACAGTAGAACTCCTCCAGGCTTGTGTTTGTGACACATCAACAATACAGAGCAAATGGAGTCAGTGGTAGAGTCGCGTTGCTGTTGGCCAATCGAATAAGAGATCTCCAAATATGAGGAAATAAGACGGTGTGTAACATGATTCTGTCATTCTTCTGCTTTGAAGTCTTGTTTGGCAACAGAAGTACTACAACACAATGTAAAACGTAAATTTTTATTTATTTTGGCTGCATTTGTCCATTAAGTACAATGAATTTAGAAAGATAAATACATTTTAAAAGGACAAAGCAATCCTCATGAAAGATTTACGAGCTCAATGTTTCCCAGAAACACCCCATTGCCCAACTTCTGCAAACTTCATTTGATAACATCTGTTTATAGGATGAGTTGTATGCGTACTTTTTTCTTTTGATGGGAAATTTGATTTCATAAACACGGAATTCTTTGTTTTTCCAAGGGATTCCAGGATGCTTTGGTTATTTTGCTACATGATGCTTCCCAACACAGAGGCCAGGATGGCTGCACCCACGGCACCAGTGACGGTCATCTTGGCAGTTGCTGCGCTGCTGCTGAGCGTGGTGGGGTTGCACTTGTCTGTGTTGCAGCAGGTCAATGTGGTGGTGTAGTTGACGAACATCAGAGTTCCTTGGATGGTTTGGTTACAGTTTGAGTTGTCGTCCTTGCACCCCTGATTGTTGAAGCCCACGAAGCTTGTGAGGGATGGGAAAACTGTGAAGAAACAAAAGCATTTGGTTGATCATCACCTTTATTGCTGTATTGCATTTAAAATAGTTCATTTAGATTAGATTGTTCTCCCTGAGACCAGTGAAAATGAAATAGGAAATACCCAATTTGCAATTTAATTTGCTGTCATGGCACTCAGTTTGTAAAGGAGTCTTTTTCCACAGACAGGAAAGGTTTTAATGCCAAATAAAGATGGACAACTAAATTAGTCATTCACAAGGGCGAGATGTGAGGCTTTTGAGCATTAAAAAGACAACTCACCTGTTTTTCCAGTGTAACAGACGTTGCGGGTGCTGTTAGAGCAGCTCTCCGTACTTGCACCCACACAGAGGCCAAACACACTGAAGGAGCACTTGTTGCAGGACAGGGACTCCACTGAAATGGAGACATAGAAGTACAAGAGCTGTGATCAGTAAATGGTTTCCCATCATTTTACACTAACAAAATACAACAACTCAAACTAGAGTTTAACTTAAAAAACTTTCAAGAGCATGAAATAGTTCCGATCTCTGAGACTTTTTGCACAGTAAGTCACTTTGAACTTGTACTGAATGTTTTCAGCGTTGCACAATTAGCGTTGAACGTTCTGGACTGCCACACCCTGCATGGTGGATCAAACTTTTTTTCTACTCCACCCAAAATTATTCGACACGCTTCCATCCAAAGAGTTTCGTGTTCGATTTTAAACAAGTTCTCTTAGAATTTTGATGTGAAATGACAGTTTGAGAGCTTTACTGACATAAAATACAGTCTCATTCGACCTCATTTGTAAGTTTTGTATCTAAAACACCTCAAATCTGTTTCAGTGAGGACAAAAAAATCAGCGTCACTCAGGGATTTTCCACCCATTTCCACACAAACTAATGATTAGATGTAATATCGCGGTTCATATTGATTTCTTGGTTAAGTGCCTGTTTTGTGTCACCCTTAACCCTCTGGAGGCAGGTGTTGCGGATTTGCAACGTTAAAACCTACCTACCTGGTTACTCCACATACGTATTTCATGAGTATTTTTTAACTCAGAAGTACCGCTGAAGGACTTAGTCGTTCGTCCTTTTATCAATACTTATTTTGAGCCTGAGAGGGTTAAATCAGCATAGCTCAAAATTTCACCTGACATTTACAAAATCATAAAACTGGGATTTTCCCACTTTTTAGACAAAAAAAAAGAGATAAAAAAAAAAGAAATAATGTATAAAAATACTACTAATAAAAGTGAACATACAGCGGTTTGTTTTGGGAACATTTCTAATAAAATCATCAGGTTTAGCCAATAAAGTATAAAAATATCAGCTTTGATAAGTTATTCTCACCCAGAACCAAAGATGCAAGAACTGCAACGATAGCGAATAAAACTTTTCCCATTTCTGCTTGTTGGTCCGGTTCTTGGTTTTAGATCAAAGATATAAAAGAAATCCACTGAAGTCTCGGAGCTGCTTGTTTCCCAGGTGACTGGATGTTGCAGGTGTCTGAACTGATGCTCGTAAAGGTGAGAACAGATATTTATAGTGTGGCTCTGGCATGGAAGGGAGAGGGATTGAGGAGGGGGGGTGATGACGAGCTTTGGTGGCTATGTCACACCCCAACCAACCACTCCTAAAACAGTTGTGTTACACATTCTGTGCAGGTGGCTTGTGCATTTGACACCACCCTCTTTCTCTCTGAATATTTCACTCAATCTTATCTTACTCATTTTTGTCATCTGTTTGGTGACAGTGTCATTTCATCTATGTCACCATTTTTTAAATGTGTCAAGAAAAAAATGTGGACTACTCTGGGTGGCCTGGCTGCGCAGGTGTAAGCAGCAGGAGCAGTGAAGGTCATTTTGGTGGATGAACTGGTCTGCAGAGCAAAGCTGAGAAACCTAAACCAGAATATCTTTGTGGTTTTTTGTTTTGTTTTGTATTATTATTATTATTTTTGTGTGTGTGTGTGTGTGTGTGTGTGTGTGTGTGTGTGTGTGTGTGTGTGTGTGTGTGTGTGTGTGTATGTGTTCTAAAATAGCACGCAGGCTTTATAAGGCCCTCCAGCTCCCAAAGACAAGTAGTTCAACTATCCGGTCACGCACATATGCCAGTGAAGTGGCATTTTCTTCATAGTTTCATGAGGTTTGAGACCGGTTTGGAGACGTTTCTATATAATTTTCTTTGAAACTGCAGTTCTCTGTAACTGATGAAGCAATGCACATCTTCGCTGAATTGAAGAAGCACTTGTTGCACACTAGAAACAAACAGGAACTCGCCAAGGAACAGCAGGATGTTTTGATATTAAGAAAAAAAACATGATAACAGAAGCAAACCGAGCTTTCTTGAAAATGTATTTGTGTACAAATCTGAAGTTGACTTGTTTACCTGTAATACTGGGTTAGTTTACAACTCTCCATTTGCACTTACAGTGATCCCTCGCTACTTCACGGTTCATTTATCGCGGATTCACGACTTCGCGGATTTTTTCTTTGGAGCTTTATTCAAGGGAAATTTGCCGATTCGCGGTATTTTTCTATGCGAAATATCAAGAAATTCCTGGTTTTTTTTTCATCATTTTCATCATAAAATGCACTTTTTGTAATAAAACTATAAAAAAAAACAAGTAAAAAAAATTTTCTTGAGTTTTACCCACAAAAAGAGAATGTGATCATACGATAATTCAATATAGTACTGTACTGTAAATATGGTGTCCCTACTTCGCGGATTTTCACCTATCGCGGCCAGGTCTGGAACGCATCTACCGCGATAAACGATCACTGTATAGTAATTAAAAATTACTTATTAATCATAAGGGCTCATTTGGTTTTGAGGTGTTTGGAGCCTCACTCGGCACAGCTGCCCTCAAGCTCAGAAACCTGCTGTGATTTAATCTGTGTACTAAAGCGGTAAAAGGGACTGATCGGTTTCAATCTGGTTGGTTGTGCATCAAACTGAGATCATGGCAATCTGGGTTGAATTTTAACCTTCTCAGGTTCAAAATAAGTTTCGATAAAAGGACGAACAATAACCAGGTAGGTAGGTTTTAACTGTTGCAAATCTGCAACGCCGACTCCAGAGCACTAATAATTGATTAACAGCCATGGATCTTTTTTTCATGAGGAGTTCTAAATCTACCAGTTTTTTAAATTTTACTCATCCAAATGCTAAAAACAATTATAAAATAAATCCCTAATAACACATTTATAATATGTTTGAAAACAGAGCTTTGCAAATTTTGTATTTTGTATTCAATTCATGAAATAATTTTTGAAAACATTTTTTTTTTCTGTAGACACAACTAAATTTGACCAGTTCTTCCCCTGGACCAGTGATGCAACCACAGCAGTCACTGTCACAGACCATATTGACAGGCTAGCCCAGGGCTATTCAATTGTGAACCTCGAGGGCCGGTATTCAGCACGCTTTAGTGGTTTCTCTGGTCCAACACACTAGATTCAGTGGTTGAATCACCTGTGCAGCAGCTCAACAGGCTCTGCAGAAGCCTGTTAATCACCTGCTGATTGAAATCAGGTGTTGAGGCAGAGTTAAAACCAAAACGTGCTGAATATCGGCCTTCCAGGCCCGGAAATGAATACCCCTGGGCTAGACCTTGTTCAACTCCAGGGTCTGGATGTTGGTCATGGCTGACATCAGCCTGGATGGTCACAGTCTGTTGGAGGACCAGGATTTTTCAGTGTGCTGCTTGAACCACCACTTCTGCTTCACAGTGGGCAGAGACAAGCTCTCTTTTCTTGCTCTTTGCAGCTGTGTGTCCGAGAAACTGGATGTAGGGTGGCCCATGCCTTCTCTTGCTTAGAAAGCCATGTTAATGTGACATGTTGACATGGAATTTAGTGACAGATCCCTATTAAATATATAGGGTGATGGTGGCAGAGGAGTTAAGGGCCCGCTCTATAACTGAAGGGTTGCAGGTTCATAGACCCTTTACTCTGTCACAGCTGTGTCGTTGGGTAAAACTTCATCCTCCATGTCTTCTGGTAGCATTATAAAAATGTGATGCAATCATTTAGACTGAGGTTTATTGGGAATTTTGAAGTGAATGGATGAGGAATAGAAGAACTGTTATGGTTAAAGTATTTAATACACTGCCTGGCCCAAAAAGTCGCCACCTGGATTCAATTCAATTCAATTTTATTTATATAGCGCCAAATCACGACAAGAGTCGTCTCAAGGCACTTCACATAATAAACATTCCAATTCAGGTCAGTTCATTAAGCCAATCAGAAATAATGTTTCCTATATAAGGAACCCAGCAACTAACAGGTGCGAGCCTCCTATTGGATAACAACTGCACAGCAATTATCTTTCTGCTGGCAACACGTTATTTAACCCCAACTGGTGCAATGAGTTGCTTCTCATTACACCCATGTGGAAAGACACCTCTGGTGGTCGTGGAAAAGATCTTAGCCTGTTTGAGGTCAGATCATTGTCATGCACCAAGCAGAGAAAACATCTAAGGCAGGTGTCACCAACTCCACTCCTTAAGGCAGAGGTCCTCAATTATCTCAAAAATCTGATGTTAGCCTAGATCTGGACAAGTGGGGGAGTAGAGGGAGGTGGAGTGTACAGTCGGTAAAGACGGCTCTCCCTTGCCCTGCCTCCAACATGCCTCCATCTAAAAGGCTAGGTTATCCAGAGTTATCTCTGTAGTTTTGCTGCTATAGGCTTAGACTGCTGGAGGATACACGGACCACTTTCCACACTCTACTACTTTCTTCTACAATCTGCTCTTTAACTGTATTATTTCCTGCAATTTCAGCTGTTAACTTAAATTTTTTCTCTATGTGTTTTTCTCCCAGAAGAAGCTACAATGGTGTTCTGCTGAGCTGTGGTAGCCTCATGGAGGGGTCCATCGTCTTGAACACTGTTGCTAACCACTTAAACCAGGGGTTCTCAATCATAATGGTCCGAGGGCCACTCACAAAAAAGACCTAGAAGTGCGTCGGCCTCGCCCTGGCCACGCGCCGTGTGCCGAGGGCCACTTACAAAAAAGACCCAGAAGTAAGAGGGCTGGACGGGGGGTGGGGGGTGGGGGGGTGGGGGGGTTGGATTGCTGGCTGTAATGCACATATTACACAAGCTTGCATTATAAAGCAGAACAACACCTGTCCCCCTCCAGCCCGGCTGTGTGACTGCACTGACCTGTTCTGTGGGACCCTCACCATGTAACCCTCATGTCCATGCTGTCTCTGGAGGAGCAGATAGGAGACAACATCTCCTGTAACTTAAAATGAACCAAAGCTTCCTCCTAGTTTCTCAGACATCAGTTTATCATCATGAAACAAAAGAATAAAGTGGAACAAGAACTTCTATCTTCTATCTCTCTCTCCTTTTAACTTCTCTGTGTCCCTAAATAAAAGACAGATGATTACGCTGCAGCCGCCGTCACTCACCTCGCTCCCTCCCCAAGACCGGACCTCCCGACATCACAGCACTCGGTCTGACTGAGCGCTTCCAGGAGAAATAATGATGAAATTATGAAAATAATTATGCGTGTTTGGAGGAGCGTCTTTAGATCCTCTCTCTCTCTCTCTCTCTCTCTCTCTCTCTCTCTCTCTCTCTCTCTCTCCCAGTCGCTGATTGAGCGAGCGGCAACACGCTCAATTAACATAAGTCACGGCCTAAATCCAACAGAACCGATCGGGCTGATTCGGTTCGGGTTCGGTCTCAGGTCCAGCGCTCAGCCCTGCAGTACCACATAAAGGTGGACCAAAGTTTCCTACCCGGTAAATGTGGAGAACACCTGCTCTGACAGATGTGGATGCTGCGCTGGTGCCGCCGTTAAAATAACAAAACTACATTCCACCATAAATGATTATGGTACTCTTCTATGATGCAGAATCGTTTATGCCCACATCTCATGCATTGATTATTTGATTATTTTCCTCAGCTCTATCTATCTTACACCTCCTGGCCGTCGGGGGTGGGGGTGCGCGCGGGGTTTGGGGGCCACAAAGAGAGGGTGTGTGTGGGCCAGACGTGGCGCCATTTGCGGACCACTGCCTTAAGGACTACATCCTACTGGTTTTCTTTGTTTCCTGCTCCACCACACTTGAATGGAGAAATTCAATCCTCTCTTTACCATGTTTAAATCGGTACAGGCCTATTAATTACTCATTCATTTCATTCAGGTGTGTAGGAGCAAAGAAACAGCTAACATGTGCAGAATGGTAAACCTCGAGAACCAGAGCTGGTGACCCCTGATCTAAGGAGATTCCAGAAAGGACTAAAAATCGGTTAAGAACGGTCCAACACATTATTATAGACTGGTTTGATGAGTCCAGATGGACCCTGTTCCAGAGAGATGGCGCATCAGGGTAAGAAGAGAGGCAGATGAAGCCATGCACCCGTCATGCCTAGTGCCTACTGTACAAGCCTGTGGGGGCAGTGCCATGATCTGGGGTTGCTGCAGTTGGTCAGGTCTAGGTTGAGCAACAGAATGTGCTCCAAGAATGAGGTCAGCTGACCACCTGAATATACTGAAGGACCAGGTTATTCCATATTCCCTGATGGCACGGGCATATTCCAAGATGACTGTGCCAGGATTCATCGGGCTCACATAGTGAAAGAGTGGTTCAGGGAGCATGAGACATCACTTTCACACATGGATTGGCCACCAGAGTCCAGACCTTAACTCCATTGAAAATCTTTGGGATGTGCTTGAGAAGTTTTTGTGCAGCAGTCAAGACTCTACATCTTCAATGCAAGATCTTGGTGAAACATTAATGCAACCCTGGATGGAAATAAACCTTGTGACATTCCAGAAGCTTATCAAAACAACGACACAGCGACTGTGTGCTTTAATCAAAGCTAAAGGTGGTCCAACAAAATATTAGTGTGACCTTTTTATTTGGAGGCAACTTTTTTCTGGCCAGACAGTTATTTGTTATTATAAATGCTAACTTTTTGGCTGAATTCTTCTTTTGACCCTCCCATGTTCCTAATGGGGACCAATGGACCCCAGGTGCTGTTTTCTATTTTTTTTTTTCATTTTGGAGGATTGACACTCACCTAAAAAAGTAATACAACACTGTAAAATTTAGATATTTTTATTTATTTTAACTAAGTCTGTCCAATAATGCACAATGAATTTAGAAGGATAAATACATTTTGAAAGGACAAAATAAACAAAGAACGTCGTCATGAAAGATTTACGAACTCAGTGTTTCCCTGAAACATCCCATTGATCAACTTCCATGATTTGGACTTCCTGAAAACTTCATTTGACAACATCTGTTTAGAGGATGAATGTGTAAGTCTGTAGAATATTGCACTTGAAGATTTCCTGAATTTGATTACTTAAACATAAAATTCTTAATTTTTCAGAAACGATTGCAGGAAGCTTTTGCCATTTTGCTACATGATGCTTCCCAACACAGAGGCCAGGATGGCTGCGCTCACAGCACCAGTGAAGGTCATCTTGGCAGTCGTGGCGCTGCTGATTGTGATGGGGTTGCAGTTGTTTGTGCTGCAGCAGGTAAATGTGGTGTTGTACGTGACGAACATCAGAGTTCCTTGGGTGGTTGTGTTACAGTTTGTGCTGTCAGCCTTACACCCCTGATTGTTGAAGCCCAGGAAGCTTGAGAGGGATGGGAAAACTGGGGAAAAAACACAAAATGATATTTCTCAAAATGTATTCAGTTTATTTGCCTAAAACAGTGCCATTTGCTAGACATCACTCCCTTTTTTCTTCCTCCCCTTCATCCTCGAGTTGACTTGGAAAAATGACATCTAAAACTGTAAAAACTGATTTGCAACCCAATACGTTTACCATTATTGGATGGTAAAGGAGTCATTTTCCACTGACAGCTAACTCCAGAGGTTATAATACCTAATCAACACAAACGCCTAAACCGTTCATGAAAGAGGCTTTTAGGGAATAAAGTAGGACTTACTGGTTTTTCCAGTGTAGCATGTGCTGGTGTTGGTGGTGCAGGCCACAGAGCTTTGACTAAAACAGGTGCCAAGCAGACCGAAGGAGCATTGGTTGCAGGACAGGGACTCCACTGAAATAGGGACATAAAAGTACAGAGCTGGGATCAGAAAAGGGTTAGGGTTAGAGTTAGAACTCAAGCTAGAACTGGACATAGGAGATCTACTTTAAACGAACAATGTCTTGCAGATTTTTGGCTCCTGTTAACTTGAAACGGTACCAGACATCTTCTACTCAAGAACTCAGTTTGAACTTGTCCCGAATGTTTCCAGCATTGCACAGTTAGCGTTAAACATTGTGGACTACCACATCCTGCACAGTGGATCAATCAAATGTTTATTTAACTCCACCTCAGACCAATATGACATGGCCAAACACCTGTATCCAAAGAGCTTTGGGTTCAGTTTTGAACAATTTCACTTAGATTTTTTATTGTGAAAGGATGGTCTGTTTGTTACTTATTATAGAAATTTTAGTTATTAACTCACAGAAAATCCATTTAAGTGAAAATAAAGAAATGACAGGAATTTGCTTCAACAGGTTTTTAAACAAATAGATGTTTTTTGGTATTTCTCCTGACCTTTTTTATAGATCATAAAAATTGTGATTTTTTTTTGTTTCTTAAAAAAAACATAAATTTGGTCCCAAATGAGAATTATAAAATCAAACATACTGTTCTGTTTAAGACCAGTTCTAACAAAAAATTGATAATGAGTTATTCTGAAGTTATTCTTACCCAGAACCAAAGATGCAAGAACTGCAACGATAGCGAATAAAACTTTTCCCATTTCTGCTTGTTGGTCCGGTTCTTGGTTTTAGATCAAAGATAAAAAAGAAATCCACTGAAGTCCCGGAGCTGCGTGTTTCCCAGGTGACTGGATGCTGCAGGTGTCTGAACTGTTGCTCCTAAATGTGGGAACAGATATTTATAGTGTGTCTCTGGGGTGAAAGAGAGAGAGTTGGAGGACAGGGTAACGATAAGGTTTGGTAGCTATGTCACACCCCAACCAACCACTCCTCAAATAGTTGTTTTACGTATTCAGTCGCGTTTGCTTAGTTCTTTAAACAAAACATTCATTCCCTCTTAACCTTTTACCCATTGTCTTCTTACCTAACTTTCTCATCTGACTTCTATTTGTCACGTCTAAAATCTTGTCCTGTTTTGGCCATTTTTCGTCAAAATTCAGTCTGAAAATGCTTATTATGACCAAAATTAAGTGTCATATGTGTCAGGTATTAGTAGAAATGTAAAATTACTTGCCAATATTTACTAATGTTTTAATTCAAACCAAAAAAAAGGTGATTTGGTCTGTAGATGAATGTCATTTGTGGCATTGTCACCTCACAGGTTGTTTGTACAAACGTTTCTGTTTAACATCAGTAAGACCACACAAACCAGAGTAAGAGTATGAAGAGTCCCTATTGTCCATGGCAGCACCTGCTTACGTTTAGAATAATAATAACATTAAGTGCTTTCATGTTAGGCTCCAAAATCACCCAAAAAGTTTGGTTGCAAGTACCCTTTTTGAGAAAGACTTGCTAGAAGGGTCTGAAAATCTGCTAAACATAGCAGCAATGTAACTGGACACAATAGAAGTTGAAACAACAATTGCACCAGACAAAAAGGCGAGCTTAAAAGGTATTTTGTAAAAGAAACCGAGTTATTTGTGTCTTGTTTCTCCTCTTTGGTGGGACTGGCCAGAGTCGATGCATAGGAGGGTCACAATACAAAAGGCAGGTCAAGGTTACCAAAAAGCAACAGAGGTTGAGTCAGGAGGTTTGTTCAGAGTAATACGGTCTATCTCAGAGTCCAACAGGATGCCCAGGTTTCTTACAGAAGGGTTAGGGTGTGGTAACCTGGTTAAAATTAGCTCTCTTCTGTCTTCAGGATTGATAAAATTTCTGCTCTGTTCTGTTTGACCTGTAGAACTGACATCTAAGACTTTGTATCTAAAATACAATTTCAAAGTAAGTTTACTGACTACATGCCATCAGGAGACATGGCAATGTAGAGCTGTAGGTCATCTGTGAATATCAATCCTTTGTCTCCTAATGACGTTCCCGAGTGGAAACATGTACAGATTAAAAAGTATTGGGCCTAAATGTAATCCTTGGGGAACTCCATATTTGATTTTATGGGTTCTTAAGGAGCAAATCGTTTCATTTGTTTTGTAACACATTTGTAGTGGTCTCTAAAATAAATGACTGATTTGTTAATTGATCTCAGTGGGCGAAAAAAGCTCTGACGCTCCTTCAGGAACTGGACACAGTAGAGGGGAGCAGAAAACAGCAGGATTTCTTTCCTGATAATTGGACATCTCGCTTCTGATCGGCTAACAGCAACACGTCTCTGCCACTGACTCCATTTGCTCTGCAACATTGATTTTTTGATCTCCTCAAATAATGCAAGCCTGAAGGAGTTTTGCTGTGGTGTGAGTGCTCTGCTGTTTCCGGGACACTAAATTGCTAACAACTTGTTGCTAGCTAAGATGGGTGACGCAAATGCAGGAAACGGGTAGTAGACCATTTTTGTGTTTAGCCTGCATGTTAAACTCAGAATAACCGATCACATTTCAGAAAGAATAAGTAAACTCAGTTTCTCTGTGAACTTGGTCTTTAAAAAATGTCCATCTGTGAGAAAGGAGAAAACCCTTTTGACAACAGTGGCTGAGAGGCCTACCAGTCTGTGTAATAAAATATGGTGGTCTGTTGTATCAAAAGCTGCACTTAGATCCAGTAGAACCAAAACCCAAAGCTTATTTGAGTCGAGGTTACATCAGGTTACACCTGAGGTCACTGACAACCTTTAAAAGAGCCTCAGGAGGAAAATAGTTCAAAATGGAGGTGGGAGTGCATCAAGAATCCGCTCTAAGCTAAGGCCTTAATTTTAGCTGGAAGGGTGCATTCTGTTAACTGTTTTCTTGGATGTGGAATCTCTCTGTGCCAATTTGTGAAAAGTACAGCCATTAATTACTGGTTTTTCTCAGATAAATCTGGTTTGCACCATAAACCAAACTTGTTTTTACTCTACCGTCTTTGACCTGCTACTTTTTAATATTGTTGGACCTCTTTGACCAAGTTTGCATCTGACTCCTCATGTGAGGTCCAGGGTCTCTTGTCCTTGGAACAGGTCCACCGTACAGCTGGCTACAAATACCAGACCTACACTCCTTTGCGCCTTCCAACGGGCCATCCACCTTATACCACCCACAAAGCACCTATGGAGACACAGTCACACATCTTCTCCTGATCCACAAACACGTGTACCCTTGTAAGCGTAGACAGTTGGTCAAAGGTTCCACGGTCAGTGGAATCCTACTAGTTAAGTAAACAAAAACACTACTGAATGTAACAGCTCTGCTCAAAAATGTCCTTTATGTAGTTAAAATAGGTCACAAAAAATTCCAGGGGTGTATAAATGTTTTGATTGAAAATATGACAATACAGAAAAGCAACATCATGAAAGATTTACGAGCTCAATGTTTCGCACCAACATCCCATTGATCTACTTTCATGATCTGGGCTTCTGTTAACGTTACAATATCTGCTTAATGAGTATAAATATTCAATCCATTGTTCATTCTGAATGGGTTGTGTGATTATTTAAAGGTGCTGCTTGTTTAGTAGCTTTATCACATGATGCTTCCCCACGTGGTGGCCAAGAAGGCTCCAACAATAGTAGCGGCGAAGGTCATCTTGGTAGATGGAGCACTGCCGACTGTGAAGCACTTGTCTGTGGAGCAGCGTCCAGTTGAGACTGTGTAACCCAAGTTCAGTGCAGATCCTACGGCAGTACTACCGCAGCTTGAGTTGGAATCTCTGCAGCCGTAGGAGGTGACAGTCAGCTTATCTTGGAGGAAAGAGAACGCTGCTAAAAGACACAGCGGGGTTAGAAAGTGAGTAACTATCTGATCTATGCTGTTGAGTTTCTGAGTTTCACATTGGCTGCAGCCGTTACCTACAGTATATAGTGTTTTTCAAAATGCTTCATGAGGTATGAAAGAACCTGTTGTGAGATATTTTATATACTTACAGCGTGTTTCATTGTAGCAGACGCTGGTATTGGAACTACAGCTCTCAGTAGTTGATGACGGGACGCGCAGCTTCAACACATTGAAGGAGCACTTGTTGTACACCAGGGACTCCACTTAAACAAACACAAGAGTTGGGACCAAAAGTTTAGTTTCACCAAGGACCCGTGGGATGTTTTGATATTAACTAATGAAAATAAACTGAGTAAATTTAGTTGAATGAGATTCTGAAGTTGTATTGTTTACTTACAATGTTGGTGTGGCAAGGTGGAGAAACGAGGACCCGGGTGGGATTCGATCCCCAGACTCCCAGGTGAGAGTCATGCATGCTAACCAATCAGCCAAAGGGACATCCCATTGGGCAAGTAGCCAGGGCACACGACCAATCAGGATACAGTGACAGGTTGCTCACACTGTCTCATCGGGGTTGGTTTAGAATGCTCCACCAACTCATGCTAGATTGTAAGGTTTCACTTGGTTTAGGTGTGTTTGGAGCCTCATACTGTAGCAAAGCTGGCATCGAGCTCAGATAAAATGGTAAATGGGATTCATTGGTTGCAATCTGTGACATTTACTCGCACATCAAACTGCTCCCATATGTGCAAACGAAGCTGGTCACGCTGAGTTCTGGTTTTTGGATTAGATTATTTTACATAACCCTTGCAGCTTATGTTGAAGCGCAGTTGGTGTTGGAGCCAACAGACAAGAAACGTGTGTGGTTTTTAACCCGTTAATCTGTTTTGGAACTCAGGATTAATCTCCATTGTCCCTTTGGGGCCTCCGTAGTTTTAAGGTTTATCATTAGGTGCTTTGCAGAGATTTTGTCAATGTTGTTCAAAATGCAACACCTTTCTAAACCACTAATTTCCTCACATTTAAATCATTTTTAAAAAGGAAAAGAAAGTAAAAGGAAATGCAGAAATGATTCTTACCCAGAGCCAAAGATGCAAAAACTGCAACGATTGCAAAGAAAACTTTTCCCATTTCTGCTCTTTGGATGGATTCTTGGTTTTAGCTGAAAGACAACAAAAATGTTTCCTCTTTAGCCCTGAAGCTGCTTGTTTCTCAGGTGATCAGATGATGAAGGTCTTAGAGTAATGAATGTGAGGGGGGAAAGCGGTGATTTATATGATGCTGGGTAAAATCTGCCAGCCGGGCCACACCCAGCTCACAGATCTTCCATCCATCCATCCATCCATCCATCCATTTTCATCCGCTTACCCGGACTCAGGTCGCAGGGGCAGTAGCCTAAGGCGAGAGGCCCAGACTTCCCTCTCCCCAGCCACTTGGGCCAGCTCCTCCGGGGGAATCCCAAGGCGTTCCCTGGCCAGGTGAGAGACATAGTCCCTCCACCGTGTCCTGGGTCTACCTTTAGGTCTCCTCCCGGTTGGACGTGCCTGGAAAACCTCACCAGGGAGGCGTCCAGGAGGCATCCTGCCCAGATGCCTGAGCCACCTCAACTGGCTCCTCTCGATGAGGAGGAGCAGCAGGTCTACTCCGAGCCCCTCCCGAATGACCGAGCTTCACACCTTATCTCTAAGGGAGAGCCCAGCCACTCTTCTGAGAAAACTCATTTAGGCTGCGTGTATCCGCAATCTCATTCTTTCGGTCACTACCCAAAGCTCATGACCATAGGTGAGGGTAGGATCGTAGATCAACCGGTAAATTGAGAGCTTTGCCTTCTGACTCAGCTCTCTCTTCACCACGACAGACCGGTACAACGCCCGCATCACTGCAGATGCAGCACCAATCCGCCTATCGACCTCATGCTCCAGTTTTCCCTCACTCGTTAACAAGACCCCGAGATACTAAAACTCCTCCACTTGGGGCAGGACCTCATCCCTGACCCGGAGAAGCATTCTACCCTTTTCCGAATCAAGACCATGGTCTCAGATTTAGAGGAGCTGATTCTCATCCCAGCTGCT